CCTGCCTTGTAAGCACAAGGGCCTGCGTTAGTTTGATTCCCGGCACAAAAAAAGTATGTATATATATATATACATACATACATACATACATATACATATATATGTGATTATAATGTATTGAGAACTAAGGTACAGTGGAGAGAAAGAAATAGTTTGGTTATTACTCTCCCAGAGGAAAGTTTAAAAAAAAACAGTAGTAACTGTTCACAGATGAAGCTGTTATCCAGGGAGCAGCTTTTTCTATTCAAACCTCTTTAAAAATTTCACCCTCTAGCTTTCACTTGAGGAACAGCATAGCTTAGATCAGTAGGCTACACTACTGAAGAAATTGCTCTCAGTTAAGAATTGATAGCCTGGCCTCATCATAGTCAAAAGACTACTGCAAAAGATTTCCAGTAAGTATTTGTGTGTGTATATTCCTCTCCAAACTGAAATAAATATAAAAAGAATTTGAAGTAAGCCGGGGATTTAGCTCAGTGATTCCGCCACCTGCCTTTCAAGCGCAAGGTCCCAAGTTTGGTACCTAATACCAAGAAAAAGCATTTGAAATACAGTATTGAAGAAAACTGGGAAGTTTAGTTCTGTGTTTTGTCCAAGATTATAGCAAAATTATAACTAAACAAATGCAATGGGCAGTATTACTGTTTTTTACTCATTTATTTTTAAATATTGAAAAATATAAATATTTTTAAACATAGAAAATTTGTCTTTTAAAGATGCCTTGCTATGTTTAAAATAATTTGCCTGATTGACCCATCCTGATTAACCATGTGGCATGAGTTCATATGCACTCAGTGTTCAATTTCTTAAAGAGCCAGTATATTTTGAGCTTCTGCTCTCTGCCCAGCACATTCTAGGCCCTGGGAGTACACAGTGAATAGCGAATCCCTACCTGCATTTGTGTGACTAGTAGAGGCACACGGTAAGTAAATAAACAAGTGCTAATACCACCTCAAAGAAGAGATAACACAATCACTGGTCTGGTACTTGGAGAAAGCTCTGGGCTTGACATGTACATCTGGAACTTTTCACCTTCGGGAAGACATGTAGAGCCAACCAAAGTCAGCCAAAGGCAGTTTTGTCCTTCCAGTTGCACTCAGTCTCTGGTACAGTTTTGATTGTTGTGACTATCGGGTGGAGGATATTCTTGGCATCTAGAGGCTAGGGATGCTCCTGAGCCTTCTATACACAGGAAAGGTCCTCACAACATAGAATTGCCCACCCCAAAATGTCAGTAGTGCCAAGGTTGAAAAACCTTGAGATGAGCAGATAGAGAGAAAGTGAAGAACTGAACCCTGAAATATCCCAAAACTTAAGGGTCTAGAAAAGGAGGCCACAGTGAAGTGGTATAACTAAGAGCATGTGGTGTCCCAGAAGCTGATTTTCAAGGAAGAATAAGCAACTGTGTCAAATGCTACTTAAAAACTGATAAAAGGACTTACAGCTGTCATTACATTTAGGAAAATGGAGGTCATCGGTAGCCATGACAGAAGGAAATAATTAGCTCAAAAACCTAAAAATTAAGTTAACAGAAGCAGTGCAGTAGTATGGTCAACCTAGACTTCCATCAGAATAAAATTCAGGCAAGATTTTTCATCACCACCTTGTTTCTTCCAGCCATCTGTGGCTGCGTGGGTGCTGGTTACAGAGGAGACAGAGAGCTTGGGTTAACCAGATTTGAGGTTCTCCTGGGGATTGTAACCTAGATCAGCCAAGGTGTTAATGAAGTGTGCTCTCTAGTGCCGGATAGTGCTAAACCATAGAACCTCACTGAGTGAGGAGGTGGAATACAAGACGTGTGGCCTCAAACAAAAATTGCAAATGGGAGGTGAGATGGTCAAGAAAATGAAGGGTGTGTGGGCAGGTAACCTCCTGAAAATCATTCCTGTGCATTTCCTCCAGTCTCCGCAAAGCTGAAGGATCCCATGTTTTTGGAGCAGCAGTCACCTGCCTTTGTCTCCCTCACCCTTTTTTCTTTGTTCATCTGGTTTTGGTTTCCATGGCAAAAATTTTGTTTTTTGTTTGTTTGCTTTCTTGCATATTTACTTTAATTGTAGTGAGCATTTTCTCTCTTATCTTTCACTTTTTTCATCAACCACCTCTAGTCTCATGTTCACTTCCTGAGTCAGAAGCTATCCTACTTCTGAGTTGGCCATCCCAAGTGAAGGCTTATTGCCCTGCCTTTTAATAAGGAGACAGCCACACCTACAATTTCAGGACATTTAACCTTCTTTAAACAAGATCCAAGGACCAATCTGATTGTTTATTGGCTCAGTCCCCAGCTGTGACAGTGGACAAGTCACGTGACCCTTTGAGCCCATGGGATCTTCACCTGCAAAGTGCTAGGGATGCACTCATAGGTTTGCTGTGGAATTCAGTGAAGTAATGGACTGTAGTCCTTTCCAAGTATCTCGTTTGGAAGTTGGCGAAGTATGGCCTGTGGACTGGCCACTTCTTCTGAAAATAAAGTTGTATTGGACTACAGCCACATCCATTTGTTTATGTATTGTCTGTGGCTGCTTTCACACCAACAGAGTAACTGAGTCGTAGCAGACACCATATGGACCCCCAGAGCCTAAAATTATTACTAGCCCTGTAAAAAAAGTTTCCCAGTTCTTGATTCAGAACATGAAATCATACTAAAATGTTCTATGTTTTTAAAAATTCCTACCGCCGATTATTTCACTTACCCTTTAATACTTTACACCCATATATTAATATTAAGAACTCATTACATAGAAGCTGCTTTTAATTATTGTTTCAAAATACCCCTTCACTTCATATGATTTTTGGAGATGTTATACTAGCAGCTAGTGAATTATTTTAAATGTCTCCAGCCTTTCAAGCTCAGCCCAATAATGAGAAATTTTACCACACGTGTATTTTCTATTGGAATAGTAACTAGCCAATTATGTTTTAATGTCAGTTCATCCTTACTACAAAAGTGGTAGAGAAAAGGGAAAGGGCAGCCTTGACTTGGCACTAGGTCCCAGGCACCCCATCTTCACTGCTGCAGCCCCAGAGCATCTACGTTAAGATTACAGCCCTCGAGTCTGAGGGAGCACAGACACCCTAATGTGGACGCTATAATGCTGCTACTTTAGGGCCACACTTTGAGCTGCTCCAGCACAGGTTTCCCCAGAGGTAAAATAACAGGTTTGCGCTGTCTTAGCCACAGAAAATGACCCACTCAGGGAGGTGAGTGGGTCCAGTCAGACGTGGAGGAGTCACTGCCTCTGCGCATCCCGGCCTCCTCAGAGCCTTCGCATGCTGTGTCTACGCACCATCTCCTCAACACTGACTCTGGCACCTGCTAGGCAGGAGTGTCATTGCCTAGCAACAGAGTTGCTGTAGTGTGGAGAGAAAGATTTCCCGGGTGCCCTTTTTTGTATAATTGTATATATTTGTGAAGTATAAAGTGGTGCTGTTGTACATGCGTATAATGTAGAATGATTGAATCGAGTTTAACGTATCTACCATTTCAAATACTTAACTTGTTCCTTCTAACTGAAGCATTGTATTCTTTGACCAAGATCTCCAGTCCTCTAACATCTCCTCCAATCCTCCCCAACGCCATGGCCACCCTCTCTGCCAGCTTCGATGCATTTGGTTCTTTTATCTTCCACCTGTAAGTGAGAACATGCAAGTATTTTTTTCTGAGCCTTAGTTTGCTTAGCACAGTGTCTTCCAGTTTTAGCTGTATCGTCACAAGTGATAATTTAAAGCTTTTTTAAAATGTAGAGTAGTATACCATTGTGTATATTTACCAGAGTAGCTTTTTTATAGACAAAAAAAACCATGAGATTCATAGGACTTATGTGATAGCTTTTTTATACTGAGAAATGTGACCAAGAATAAAATGATGGAAATACTACAAATGATTTAACAGGACTAGGAAGTTTACAGACTTTGAGTTTTTAATCACCAAATTTTACGTCTGTAAAGGCCTTTAGACATCTTGTAGTCCTATTGCTTTTAATAAGTGAAAACTAAGAAACTGGTTAGCAAGCCAGGCTCCTAGTTCAATCCAGTCGCCTCTCTGGGCTGTAACCTTCTATTTATGGAGTTGGGATAAAACTCAAGATTATGATCAGAATATACTTTCACCCTGACAATATAGCTTCTGCACTAAATTCATTTTCTTTTTTAAAAATCCAAATGAGCATATTCAATAATTACTGCATATTGTATAATACATAGCCAAATTCCTTTAGTCTTTTATATCCCTAAAACACATATAGTCTGACACAAAGGATTTGGCAGTCTTTGTGAATGTTATCCACGCAGCTTGTTGTATTTTATTCGTAGCAGAGTATGATGTCAGTATTTAAAAAATTATTCTACAAGTTATCTTCATGTTTTCTATGAATATCAATATAGTTTCTAATTAGATATCATAGGTCAAAATGAACTCCTTCAGAACTACCACTGTAAGGTATTAACCCAGGATTTTTAAAATACATATTATCTAGTACTAATAAAGAAGTGAGACTAGTGTTATTGCTTGAAGTTGTGTTAAAGACAGACTGAAGGGGCTAAAATGCAAAGATAAATAAATAAGAAAGTTCTAAAGTTTAATTTGATTAGTACAACTTGATGCTGAACTTTGAATTTCTTCCAAGAGTTCCAAGTTACTGAATATCAGCCAGGTTTTTCACAAGTAGTAGATTTGAGGCCATCTGTGCCTTTTATCTTAACATAATAGTTACCCTTCTTAAAGTCTGAAAAAGTGCTGAGGAAATAAAGACCTCTCCCTCTTCCAACCAGTTACACTGTATCTTATTTCCATAGATAAAATAGTTAAATTAAACATATGTCATGTTGCTTTCTTTATTCATTTTAACAGAACTACAGACAAAACCTTGAAAATACATTAACAGAGAGGTCTGGGGTTGTTTGTTATTTTACTTTTGTAATTATGCTCTGCCATCTTTCTGGTCATGTTTGTCTTTTAAAATGTAAAAATAGCTTATTGTTAAACACTATTCTGCATATAGTTCATCCTGTGGTTGTCCTATCAAGTAATATGAAATAGTGGCCCTGAAACCATATTTTTAAGGATTTTTTGTTGTATTTTTTGTTTTGTTTTCAGAATATAATTTAGTCATAGCCACCATTCTTACCTAAAAATATCACTCCTAGCTTCAGACTTGATAATTCAGGAAAAAAAATCTCCTCCTTGTGTTTTAAGTTTATAATAATGTCACATAGACAACTTGTCCTGTGATTTTTTTTCAAAACGGACATGGAATGATTTGTTCCGGCATTTTCTTTAGAACCTTTGGAGCACAAATAATTCTAGACAGGTTGCTTTTAAGATGGCTGTGAATTTTAACAAAATTCTTGCCAAAGTAACTATAATTTACCTTTTAGTTCCCTATTACACATTATACTTCTCTGCCATTTCAAAAGAGTCTTGAACAAACTTTAAACTTCCTGTTCTATAATTGTTTGAAGTTCTCTGCACCTCTTATAATACGTGTGACTTTTGCCTGTGTATGGAGAGATCTCGTCCCTTAATAAATGTGGTATTTTCTGGCCTCATTTAAATTTTTGTTCTTCTTTGTTGCCTCTCATGTCATTTAGAATACCTGCCTTAGCGGCCCCCTTCCTAGCCTTTGTTTCTACTTCTGGTAATCACATTTGATAAGTTTTGCTTACACAGGAGCAAGTATGCCAAATTAAGCACCACTCAGCCCTTCCATCAGCAACTTTCCTTCCTTGTGGCCACTCAGAGCCCTTTTAGTTCAATGTCTTGTTCTTGGCTGTGTTCCACAGAGTCAGAAATTATAGACAGCATTGCAACCTGAATTCTTCTCAGATCTACAAAGGAATTTTTAAGACAAAGATGAAATGAATTTTACATGTCAATTTTTATTTTTCACATTTTAAGTTACATGTTTTCCTTAGGATGAATCAGATGTGATTTATCTTCAGGATTCATTCAGGATGATAAATTGGGTAAAATTGTGTGGCCAATTACTTTAGTCTTTGAAGATGGCTCAGTTTTTTGTTTTTTGTTTGTTTGGTTTTTTTGTCACCTAGGCTGTGAGACCACCCCTGAAAAACTACCAGTTGGGAAGCTGTCTGCTTGCTGTCACAAATTAAATCACTGCTGTTGTGTTTGTCATCCTTGCCCTATTTCTTGTTATAAACTAATGTTACCCGCCCCTCCTTGACATTATCTTAACTCTTAAAGTACTTTATTTTCTGCCATTTCCCCAATGGGAAGAATCATAAAAATTGAATTTAGCAGGATGTGTTATAATATTAATCAACTATTGTCTATTTAGTCTATGTATCAGATCGATTCTGATTGTTACTTAACAGTTGGAATTTTAATAAACTCTGCTGCATTATTTGGTCATTAGAGAACAGATTGCCTGTTACCAGCACCATCAGTGTACACATGTGTGTGTGGATGTGTGTGTACATGTGTATTCATACAGAATTTTACTTTGGTATTTTAAAATATTTTTGACTATGGGCTAGTAATTCTGAGGGGAATTATGAACAGTAAAACCCTGATCATTTCCTGGATTAGACCTATTAGAGTTGTTTAGATAACACACTTTGAATTACTTCCTCTGAGGAAACATTGAAACTGGAAATGTTAACCAGGCACACATACCAAAGCACTTAGACAGAGCACATTGTTTCTTTCACTATTAAAAAAATAAAGGAAAGAAATTATGCAAATAAATCACATCTGTAGAAACCTAAGGAGACTGGCTCAAGTGCCAAAGGAAGAGCATTTATATATGAGATTCTTCATCTGTCACTGACAGGAACCACAGAGTTATTCTGTGTGTTGGTCTCATCATTTATGCAGGGCTAATTGCTAACATTAATGATGACATCAGAGTTGAAAGCATAGAATTACAGATTGTACTAACATGTTAGCATTTTTATATATGGGAGTAGGAGTAAATTACTAAGTACACACAGACACAAAAATGTAGGCAAAACTGTTGAATGTGCCCAGATACTGACATTTAGTAAGGGAAACTTTGATCTGTTTAATCCGTGCATATACTGTCTGCTTCATGTCTCACAAGCTGGCTGACATTCTCTTTCAGTTCATTTGATGTGCGGTACTTCAGCAGTCCTATTATTTCTTCATTCTGGATAGTGTACATTCTTAAAGGTAAATTAGGGAAAAATACAGTATTAATTATGAGATAGAGATACTATGTTACTCCTTCATGTTTAGGAAACACTACTGGGTCCCTGCATCCCGAGTGGAAATAGTGTGCTGTGAGTGCGCGCGCGCGCGTGTGTGTGTGTGTGTGTGTGTGTGTGTGTGACATCGCATGAGCATTGCTTCTCTCGACATCCCTGCCTCCATCCTTATCCAAGTGGGTGAACCATCAAGGTTTTCACAAAGTTCTGATAAAAAGGAAACAGAGCATGACAGCTGAGAGTTTTGCAGAATAGTCTATTCTAAACTGGTATATTTTGAATCATTTCCATATGCTCACTTCCTCTGGAATATATCTGTAATGATATTTCAGGCTCCATTCAGAGATTAACTTTTACTCTGGGATAACACTGAGTAAAAATTTGAGCTAGTCTTTAGTACAGAGAGAGGATGATGCTTAGAAATAGCAATGTGGACTTGAAAACATCAGTGGATGAAAGTTTAGTAACAAGAAAATACAGAGAGGGCCGGGGATTTAGCTCAGTGGTTCTGCCACCTTCCTTGTAAGTGCAAGGTCCTGACATCGATCCCCAGTACCAAAAAAAAGAAAGAAAGAAAGAAAATAGAGAGAGATGAAATGCAATGTGAAATAAATATAAGAAGTAAAATTCTTATAGTTAATAAAAACAGCATTCACGACTTCCATTTATTGAGCGTCTATCTTATGTCATGTACTATATGGGCAGGTGCTAGCTTTTCGAATCACCTAAAATGGACTTTAAACTGTAGCAGCTGTGAATTGCCATTAAAATGATACCGTGCTACCATTTCTGTACTTAAAGTAACTCCTACAGAGACTATCACTTCACTCTGCCAACAACAGACCTGTTCGTTTTTTACAGTACTGTTGATTGACATATTGCTTCTTCCAGAGATTAAGGTTATACACAAATAGTGTATAAGAGTAAATAGTGGATAAGAAATTATTTACAAAGTGTTCTAGTTTTCTAAACACATAACTGGTATGAATATCATGGGTCACTTTACCCAGATACTTTATTAACAAAGAAGCAAAAGTTCCATCTCAGGTTCAACAAAAGCCTGATACCCATATCTGCTAAAGATAGCATAATAAAACTAGACCCCTATATGGGAGTCTGCCATTATAACATAAAAACAGTATGTCAAGATTTAAAATACTAAAACATTTGATTAAATATTTTAATAGTTTTTCCACTTAAAAACTTTTAGAAAACTAGAATCGGAAGACACATTACTGATAATGATAAATTATCTCTCAAATCAAAATATTTCTCACAGTTTTATATTAAAATATTGATGATATTCATCTTAAAATTTGAAACATAAAAGTACTTTGACCACCAACACCATTCTGTTGTGGTAGAAAAGGTATGAAAATTGAACAGTTGAAGAAAAATTGTTTATCATTTGTGTACGATATAATCTCCTAGGAATACCAAAAGAATGTAGTAAGAAAGCTTATTACTGTAAGGCACTGGACATATAAAATAACAAAACATAATTCAGTAATTGTGAATGAATAGTAATATTGAGGGATTGTTAGTGTATACTAATAGAGGAAATAAAAATATGAAAATTGTCATGTGGCTATTTGAAGATACTATTACAATGATGTCACTTCCTACCAAAACAGCATATAGATTTAATTCACTTCAAAGAACTTTTCAACATAAACCACAGACAAAAATTATTCTAAAGATAATCTAGAAGATTAACCAGGCAAAATATCTGAAACTTTCGATGTCTTTTTTTTTTCTTTTTTTTTTTTTTTCCTTAACTAATTTTAGTCTTAAAAAATCACTGCAAGGGTTTGGGGATTTAGCTCAGTGGTGCCAATGCATGCCTTGCAAGGGCAAGGTCCTGAGTTCAATCCCTGGTACCAAAAAAAAAAGGATTACTGCAGCAATAATGTGCAGATTCTCTAAACAATTCAGCCATATTCACCAGCTTTTGCCATTTGGCCATATTGGTTCATCATCCCCCACCTACACACACACTCACACTTACACGTTATACAGATGTGTAGTGTAACATCTTTTCTGAATGAGTTGCATGCATTATGCCCTTCATCCCTTAATGTGTCAGTGTATTTGACTTAAGAATAAGTATATTTTCTTAAGTAAACACAATATGTTCAGGAAAGTTAACAGTGGAGGCAACTTCTATTTACAGTCTTCGTTTCAGATTTGCCAGTTGTCCCAAGAGGATACTTTATTGCACTTGCTTTTCATTTCTCTTTACTTCACTTTAATCTGAAACAATACTTCAGCCTTTCCTTCTGTTTCACAGAATAGATGTTTTATTAAAAATACATGTTAGCCGAGTGCACACCTGTAATCCCAGCAATCTAGGAGGTTGAGACAGGAGGATTGCAAATTCCAGTCCAGCCTGAACAATTTAGTGAGAGCTTATCTCAAAATTTTTTTATTTTTTTCATGGTTATTACCATTTAGTTTTCTTTCCTCATTGTTTATTGGTACATTTTAGGTATACAGTACAGTTGCATTCATTATTGGGATCCTGTACCTTTACATGACAGGTTTTGATCCTCATTTTCCCCCCGTCCCTGCCCTCCCTTCACCCCCTACTCCCCTCCCCATTTACAAACACTTTATTTCCATGGTTTCATTTTCTCATATTTTTTCTTTTCCCTTATTCCCTCCCCCTATCCTTCCCACTTTCCATACACCTTTAACCCTTTTCTTCCTATTTCACATGGTCAATTCCCTCATTAGGATCTTGTGTACTATTATAGTTTGTTCACACCAGAGAAACTATTCCGTATTTACACGTGTGACTTATTTGTTTCACTTAGGAGTATATCCTCAGTATGTATCCATTTTCCTATGACTTACTCTAATGTCTCATTCTTTATGGCTGAGTAGTATTCCATTTTATAGAAAAACCACATCTTCTTTATCCAGTTTCCAACTGATGGGCAAAAGGGCGGTTTCCAAGTTTTAGCTATTATAAACTGTGCCGCTATAAACATAGGCGTGCATTCAAAAATTTTTTTAGTTGTTAGATGGGATAGAAATGTAGCTCAGTGCAAAGACCTTGAATTCAATTCTCAAACTAACAAAAAAAAAAAAACTGCTCCTCTAATAATAGTTTTGCCTGGAATGAAAACATTATGAGTCACGGGCATCTTGGGCACATGGTGTTGACATTGTACCTCTCTTTGATGGGACTGGATTTGGTCACCCAGGTTCTGTCTACTTTTTTTTTTTTTTTTTTGTACTGGGGATCAAGCTCTGGTCCTCATGCTTGTGAAGCAGGCACCAGAACCACTGAGCTAAATCCTCAGCATACTTTCTTTAGTATGTAGTAGTTTACTTTGTCCTCCTTATAGTTAATAAGCATTCTGGAGGAAGATCATGTACATAATTTGTGTCTTAATTAAGGTTCTATAGACTTAGTACTCATTCGTGGTATTTGTGCAAATCAATCCTTACTGTGATAGTTGCAAATTTTTATTGTCTAATCCCCCTACTCTGTGCATTTGTTGGCTTTTTTTCTTCATTAATATTTTCAATTATTCATCTGTTTTGCTATCAGATATAGACATTCCTATTTTATTTGGTAGATTATAATTCCCATGGTGTATTTATTGTGATGCTCAAACTTTCCCAGATTTTGGCAATGAGAGCCAATCGAGGCTGACTCCTTTGTCCCTTTTACATATCTCATCGTCTCACAAGCACTTTACTTTCTGGCACAAAAAAGTGTTAACAAACTTGTCTTGTACCTCTCCTGCGTTACTGTTGGAGTCAGTCATTTCCTCAGGGTGCCTTGGTTTCTTTCAGTGAGGAATGGTTTGGGACAATAGGAGGTTTAGCTTCTAGTTTCCTCAAAAGAAAAGCGCTACGATGTGTGTATGTTGAATTGCGTATGTGTGTGTAGTTTCTGAAAATTTCAAGTTAATACCAATAGTCCAGTTCCAAACTAGCCCTCGAGGGGTTCTTTCTTGCCTTTCCTATTCCATATTTGTCACTCCTTCCACAGTGAAGTCTGTGACTTTCAAAAAACATCAACACATTTGCTCATTTAGTCCTGTACTGTGCATAAAGTTGACTCACAATTATTCTACCCATATCCCTAAAAAATAAATTTACTAAAAGGACTGCAGTGTTTATTGGTCTTTTTGCCAGCATTATATAGTCAAAGGCAGTCTTGTAGATTGGCAGCACAGAATCAAAAACAGCATTCCAGATGTACTGCGTTGTTTCTCTGTCTCTGTTCTCCAAGTGGTTATTTTATTTTATTTGAAATACAGTTGGATTCACATTTCCAGCTGCAGTTTTTTAATTCTTGTTCATTTTTGAATATGTAGAACATTGACATGCATCCTAACAGTCACAGCTCTGTAGCAAGGTGTACTTGGAGAGGCCTCACTTTCTCCCTGTCCTTCCTGGCTGCTTCCTACCAGAGCACCTCCTTTCACTGTTTTATGGTTTCTGTTTCTTGTGCTTTGTTTTATAAAAATAAGAATATATATATATATACCAATTTTCTCTTTTGTTCAAAAAAAAACGTAATAAATAAGCCTTTTTTGCATTTTGCTTTTTTTCCACTTAATATGTCCTATAAGCCACTTCATATTATTCATTGGGTTCATTGGAGTCATTGTCTTTATTCTGTTTTGTGTGGTACCATTACATGGGGTATGCCTTAGTTTATTCAGTTAGTCACCTACGTTTGGGCACTTGGATCAATGCCAGCATTTTTGCAAATACAAATAATGCTTTTATGAATAACCCCATATGTGTATGTTTTTTATTTTTATGTTGCTGGCAGGTTGTCTTCAAGATTAATTCCTAGAAGTAGGATTGCTGGGCAGAGGGATGAATGTCTAGGTAGTCGGTAGTTACTGCCAAGTTCCCCATACAGGGATTTGTCATGTTGCTTTCTTACCAGCCCAGGACAGGAGTTCCTGTTACCCCACAGTCTCACCACCTGGGTGAATGGTCAGGCTTATCAGAATGGTAGATGAAAAGTGGTATCATGGCATAATTTTAATTTGCATTTTTCTTATTAAGAGAAAAGTTAAAAATCTTTTCATAGGTTTGAAAGCCATTGTACATCTTTAACGAATTAACGTTAAAGTTTTGTACCAATTTTCATTGCAGCACTTTTTGGTCCTTGTTTTTAGTTTCTTGTACATAAAGGGCATGGACCTCTTTATCCATGATATATTTTGCAAATATTTTCTGTCAGTTTATCATCTGATTTTGCCTTCTCTTGTTCTTGTCATCCAAAAATAACTTTCAGTCAGAATAACCACAAATAAGCTTTTGTTATCAGATATGAACATTTATAATAAAAATATGGAAATTTAAACAGTATAGGAAGGCCGGGCATGGTGGCACATGCCTGTAATCCCAGCACTCGGGAGGCTGAGGCAGGAAGATCGCTGTGAGTTTGAGACCAGCCTGGGCTACAAAGTGAGTTTCAGGTCAGTCTCAACTACATAGTGAGACCCTGTCTCAAAAGACAAAACAAAAAATAAACAGTATAGGAAAATAGGTCGCTAGATAAGTGACCTCCAAGTAGATATAAGTAATAATGTAAACATTTAAATGTATGTGTTGTATGAATTTAGCACACATTAAAAGTGGGTCTTCAAGTCAATGATAAAGAGATAGTTAAGAAGTTTGATAGATGGCTAACTTTAAAAATAAAATTAGATGAAGAAAGGCGCTAAAGGTGTAGGGAAGGTGTGATGCGTAGGGGAAGAACAAAAAGGGAAAAGAAAAAAATGTGAGAGAATGAAAAGATGAAAATAAAGTGTTTGTAGATGGGGAGGGGAGGAGGGGGTGAAGGGAGGGCAGAGGTAAGGGGAAAAAATGAGAATCAAGACTTGCCATGTAAAGGTACATGATCCCAACAATGAATGTAACTGTACTGTATCCCTAAAATGTACCAATAAACTCAATAAAATTAAAAAAAATAAAATAAAAATAAAATTAGATCTTTTGTAAATAGGGAAGGGAGAAGGAGGTGAAGGGAGGGCAGGGATAAGGGGAAAAAATGAGAACCAAGACCTGTCATGTAAAGGTACAAGATCCCAATGAAGAATGTAACTGTACTGTAAAACTGTACTGTACCTAAAAAAAACAACAAAACTCAATGAGGGAAAAAAAAAAAATTAGATCCCTACTTTAAGTTATGCACCCAAGAAAATTCATTAAATAAACTTGAAAGTGAATACATGAGACCCTCAAAGAACAAAAAGAAATATTGGTAATTGTATGAGTGTTCTCAGCTTCAGCACTAATGAAATTTTGGACTGCATAATCTCTGCTCTGGGGGCTATATATTGTGCATATTTAGCAACAGCCCTGGCCTCTCTCCAGGAATCACAAACTGCAGCTCTCTTAGCTGTGCCAATCAAATATGTCTCCGGACACTGCCACTTGTATCTTGGAGGTAAAATCGCCCCTGGCTCACAGGGCTTCTCTAGATCACCTCTGCTAGAAGCATAGCACCTAACAGTGAAATCACAAAGGAAAATTCTGAAAATACTGACTCCATTGACTACAAGAAAGTATTTGAGGAAACAAATTTAAAAGCATATAGTATAAATGACATTTCCCTGATGTAAAAAGTAACCAATTAGAAGAGATCTAAATATTCAGGTAAATACCAAAAAGTCAGTACAGTGTACAAATAATTAAAGATATTTAGTCTAAAACATGAATAAATAAATTCAAGATGCAGGCTTTACCTTTCAAGTTGGTAAACATGAAATTAACTTCTTCAGCATGGGTATAGCAAGACAGATAATTGCATAAAGTGATAGAGGTATAAGTGAATATAATTGATTAAATGCAGAGGACATTACGTATTATACCTTCCACATCTGTATCTTTGTCTGTGCAGTTCTACTTTTGATACCTTTATCCTGTGGAAATTACTGAGCTGGCAAAATGTTCGTTGCAGTGCTACTTAAAATGGTGAAACATTGGAAAACCCCATCTGTCTAACAGTAAGGAATTGCTCAAAATAAATTAAGGTACATCAATGTATAACGAATACATTAGATTAGTGTTATAATTGATACATACAGGAGAAAATGGATAACTAAAATAGAAACTGAACTAACAGTTGTTTATATGTGTGTTTATGTGTCTGAGTTTCATGAGTATTCTTTTTTCTGTTTATATAAAAATTTTGACAGAAATTATACATGGTGTTAAGATATATTGAATTTTTCCTTTTGTATTTGTATTTTCTAATATTTCTTCCAATGAACATGGATAGTTTGTGTAAGATTTCCTAAATGGAGAAATAAAACATTTCAAGGACTGGGAATGTACTTCTCCGACATTTGTGAGGCCCTAGTTTGTTGTTGTTGTTGTTTTGTGTTTTTATTTTTGTATGTGTGACAGGGTCTCACTATGTAGTTCAGGCTGTCCTTGAACTCTAACTTGAGGTGATCCTCCTGCCTCAAGGCTTCCTGAGTGCTGTGATTACAGGACTGTGCCACCATGCCCAGGGAGAGGGCCTAGTTTTGATCCTCGGTGCAGCAACAAAAATTTTTGAAACCTTTTTCTTAATTCAAAATTGTAAAAATTGTGTAAAACTAGAAAATTTCTAAAGCAAAAAACAAATTGATAAAAATGTTTACAGTGGTGTTCATTAAAACATTGTTTATAACTGAAACTGTTAATGTTCCAGTATAATGATCTAAATGATAGACTATTCTGCATGTGGAAGAGAGATAAAGACATTTTTAGAAGTCTAAACTGATATTATCTTGTACAAAAAGTGGTTATTATTAACCAAATAAATATTATAGAAGAGAATGAGTATCTAAATTTAATATTTGAAGAAAGCACAGCATTTTCCTGTGTCTTGATAGAAAGTTCTGTCCCGATCCTTGGAACAAACTGAAGGAAACTAACCTGACGTCTGACTTATCACGTTGCAGGTCGCTTCTGGTGAATGCAACGAGGACACTGAAGTTTACAACATAACCCTGTGTACCGGGGATGAGCTCACCCTAATGGGACAGGCGGAAATCCTGTACGCAAAGACTTTCAAGGAAAAGTCCCGGCTCAACACGATCTTCAAAAAGATTGGGAAACTCAATTCAATCAGCAAGCTGGGAAAAGGCAAAATGCCCTGCCTCATTTGCATGAATCACCGGACCAACGAAAGCATCAGCCTTCCGTTCCAGTGCAAGGGCAGATTTAGCACGCGGAGTCCCCTGGAGCTCCAGATGCAGGAGGGTGAGCACACCATCCGCAATATCGTGGAGAAGACCAGGCTGCCTGTGAACGTGACTGTGCCAAGCCCCCCACCCCGAAACCCGTACGACCTCCACTTTATCCGAGAGGGGCACCGCTACAAGTTTGTGAACATCCAGACCAAGACCGTAGTGGTTTGCTGTGTGCTGCGGAACAACAAGGTCCTCCCCATGCACTTCCCTTTGCACTTGACGGTCCCCAAGTTCAGCCTCCCGGAGCACCTGGTCAAGGGAGAGGTGTGGCCTGAAACCCTGGTCCATCACTGGTTGGGTATCTGCCAAGAGCAGTTTGACATTGACGAGTATTCCCGGGCGGTCCGCGACGTGAAAACGGACTGGAATGAGGACTGCAAAAGCCCCAAGAAGGGCCGGTGCTCTGGCCACAACCACGTGCCCAACTCCCTCAGCTATGCCCGCGATGAGCTCACGCAGTCCTTCCACCGGCTCTCTGTCTGTGTGTATGGCAACAATCTCCATGGTAACAGCGAGGTGAACCTGCACGGCTGCAGGGACCTGGGAGGAGAGTGGGCTCCCTTTCCTCACGACATCCTGCCCTATCAGGACTCTGGTGACAGTGGGAGCGACTACCTTTTCCCAGAAGCTGGTGAAGAGTCTGCGGGCGTCCCAGGGAAGTCTGAACTACCTTATGAGGAGCTGTGGCTGGAGGAGGCCAAGCCCAGCCGCCAGCCCCTCACCCGCTCACTGAGTGAGAAGAGCAGATGTGACCCCTTGAGAGGCTCTGTCCGCTCCAAATGTGCGACTTCTCCTCTTCCCATCCCTGGGACTCTGGGAGCCACAATGAAGTCTTCAGAAATTGCCCTACCTCCACCTCCAGTGCCTCCCAAATCTGAAGCCGTAAGTCACTTCGGTGTCTGAGTGGTCTCGACCTTTCTGTCTCTGCTTACCTGCTCATCACTTTTTTATAGAAAGGAAAATGTCCCGACTGGAGATTATCAGGATGAACAGGTTTATTTACTGTAGTGTGGAATATAGATGCTGGTTAGATTATTTCCCAAGTCAGAAGGGAGAGTTGTATGCTCTGTTGGATGAAAAACTCTTTGAAGAGGGCCCAGGGATGTAGCTCAGTGGCACTGTGCCTGCCTTGCAAGCGCAAGGTCCTGAGTTTCATCCCTGGTACCAAAGGGAAAAAAAAGAATAGAAAAACTCTTTTCAAGAGTTTTTGACAAGAGACATTTAAACCTGACTTTGGCTGCTGCCTAGAAAAATGCATTATAGGGAGGAGAGAGCAGACGCTAGGAGGCCAGGTGAGAGGCAGTGGGGTGACCGAGGTAGGCAGTGGCAATGCCTAGACCATAACTGCTGGTGGCAGTGGGCAGCAGGGAGAGATGAGTTGCTCTGGGCTCTGGTTCGGAGGTGGTGTTCACTGATGCGTTGGACGTGAGAAGGGAAGGAAGAGTGCAACCAAGGAAAACTAGAGTCTTAGCTGAGCACGAGTGGGTGTTCACACCGTTTACAGAGGAGCCTAACAGGTGCATCTGTAGTACAAATACTGAGTGTGGGAGGGGAGCAGAGGGGTTCAGGAGGCATCACTTGTATCTCTGTCCGGTACCCCTGAAGAAGCATGCCATGCACTTAGGTACATATGCACCCCAGAACTCGGTACCAGGGCTTCTAAACACCTTAAACATAATGCAGTCAGAGCTTGATGGGGCTTTGGTCAAAGTTCAGTGTGAAAAGATCAGTACAGTGACAGGAGAACTAGGTCAGTGGTATAGCAAGTGCTAGTCTTTCAGTTCCATCCCCAGTACCCAGAAAAGGTCAGTACAAACCTCTGTCTTTTCATGTACAGCAAGCTAGTCTTTCAGTTCCATCCCCAGTACCCAGAAAAGGTCAGTACAAACCTCTGTCTTTTCTGTGTTCTTTGATTGGTGTCCACTCTGAACCTTTGCTGCTCATTTTTGATCATTAAATTTCATTATATCTGAAGGCAGATAGATGTAATTCTGTTCATATATTTGACAATCTCTATTATAGCAGTTCCCTTTTTCTATCTCTAACAGAATCCTTTTTTAAAAAAATCTTACGTGAGTCACAATATATGAGAACAATTAGAATCAAAACCCACCTGCCTGGCTGGGCATGGTGGCACACACCTGTAATCCCAGCATGCAGGAAGCTGAGGCAGGAGGATCACTGTGATTTCGAGACCAGCCTGGGCTACATAGTGAGTTCTAGGTCATGCTCAACTACATAGTGAGACCCTGTCTCAAAAAAACAAATAAAACAACTACCTGCCCAGAGCACAGGTTGCAGCAGGGTAGTCTCTGGGTGCCCCCTGCCCACTGTCTTCTCCCAACCAGTGGTCTCAGGATGTGCAGAACACAGTTTCAAAACCAGGGGATTACTGGACTAGATGCTAGAAAGACAATCATCAGTAAGATGGGGCTTCTGGGCCCTAGTACCTTCCATAGGAAAGGTTACAGATGAAAAGACTGCTATAAAGCTCAAAATGAGAAAAGCAGCCAGGAACAATGGCACATACCTGGAATCCCAGCTACATAGATGCCTAAAGCAGAAAGATTGCAAGTTTGAGGCATCCTGGGCAACTGAGCAAGACCTTGTCTCAAAAAGTAAAGGCTAAGGATGTACCTTAGCAGTTGGGCTCCTAACCTAGCAAGCTTCATGTACAAAAAGTAATAAAAAGTAATGCTGATACAATGTGTGCTGGAATTATGAGGGCAAAGAAACTTCTAGTTAAGAATGAATACAGAAGCCTTCCTAGGGATTAGCACGTTTTAAAGAGTTTAGAGAATATAGGTGAGTTGGAAGAGCAGAGAGATGAGAGCAAAGACCATTCCAGGTGAGGCATGAGAAAAAGCGCAGGGGCTGGAGTTACATAAGCACCATGGGGAAAAACAAATTCTGTTGGGTCAGGGTGGTTAGGGCTGGATAGGGTGCATACAAGACAGCAGTGACTGAAAGGCCAGCCCGTGGACAGCTCAGAGTGTCAGGCCCTGCTCCGCTGCCATTGAAGAGCCCTCATTGCCACAAAGCTTTCCCGACAGAGGATCCACCTCTGGCTGCCCTTCAACCACACTTCTGGACTCTCCCAAGCTCCTTACATGATTTTCTCTGGCACAAGAGCAGAGAGCCCTGTATTCCATAAGGTCGTGGACTATTTGGGGAGTTCATGGTGAAATCAAGGTCTATGGTCTTTATGTTCATGTCAGCGGCTCCCAGGCTACAAGTAAAAAGTGAGTGTACAGCCTTCCCAGCAAGCACTGTAGGCCCCTTTAATGGCGTCAGGACTCATCTGTCTGATTTTGCTTGAAGTTGGGGCCTTGATGTGTTTTGGAAACATGACTCCACGAGCTTTTCCTATTGTATTTTGTTCCTGCCTGGCACATTGTGGATCGCGTGTTTGTTGACTGACTGATGTATTTATCCACGGTGGTCACACCAGGGTAATGTAGCCGAGTCTAGAGGTAGGGAACCAGCATCACTTATTTTCTCTGTGGCTGATGAAAGATGAGTAAGACATAAATATTAAGAAGTCTGATCTTAACCTTGGTACTCAAAGAAAAACACTAGAGTTCAATTGGAAACTAAAAGCAAATTTCATAGGGAAAAAAAGGAAAAAAAGCTGTAATTTCTTATGATGTGAGAGAATCTTTTCAGAGCCTGCCCAGTGTTTATAAAATACTATAAACGCAAAGATTTTTTATAAACACCTGAAATCATTTAATTTACTTTTAAAGAAAAATTTAGGCATTTTAAATGAAGCCATTTCTCGTTTCTATGGCCATGAAATGAATTTTCCATTTTTAGGATGTGTGTGGGAACCAGAGAATGTCCTAATTGTTAGATGTGGCTTTGGCTTATAATTTTCAAAAGGGTACTTAAATGGGGCATAAATTAAAGCACTTCCACAGAATTAAATAAAAGTCCTGCCTCGATAGAGTGGAGGGAGTTCAGGGAGAGAGATGGGCCGTATGTCCAACAGCCAATTCACTGGACAATAAAAGGTGTCGCTGAGCTGTCCAGTGAGGCCAGCAGGGCACCATATGGGAAGATGACAACTCTCACTACAACCTGTGAAATGAAGGTGCTGGTGCGATGGAGGTATCACAGAGCAGGTGTCTTTCACAGTCAGGAACCTAAAGCTGGCACTGGGCGAAGGGACAGTTCCCTTACCCAGACATGTGAAGGCCTGGAGGTGCAGCAGCTGCATTGCCATGCATAGTGCCTCTTCCTTTTCTTCTGATTCTTTCATGCTTTGCCTTCAGCTCCTTTGTCCTAAGCTGTGACGTGTTTATGCCCTCTCTCCAGCAGATTTTGAGGGTCTTTGCTTCCTTCCATGAAAGTGAGAATAAATCTTCCCCTCCCCTTGAATGATCTACATGCTGCTTCTTGCATTATGCTTTGTCCCTGGCAGCATCATGTTGACAGTTGAGAGCACTCACCTGCCCACGTCCTACCTGACAAGCCTGGGCTAGGGAACCAACAAAGCCCTCAGCGGCGGAGGGATGGAGTTACCACTGGTGATTGACTTTGTTCATGTACCTTGCATTTAATACACTTATTTAAGTAAAGCATTGTCACTCACGTCTCTAGGGTATGAGAAGCTGTTATTTTCAAAATGAGAATATCCCAAGAAAAAGCAAGCAGTTGCTGATTCCAGAGGTAGAAAGGACGCAGCTGCTGTTGGCAGTGGGGCCCAAACTGAGGAACATGCCCACGGAGTGTGGCATTGTCACTTTAAGATTTTGCAAGGGGCCCCCAGACTAGGGCGACTTGACAGTCCCTCTGAAGTGGGTTATCTTTGTTGATCTAGGCACTTATTCTAAACTCATCCTCCATTTTATAGCATTGTAGGCCTCTGTTCACCATCTCAGTATCTGAGAACTGGCTGATATGTCTAAAATATTTACTCAGATACACCCTGCAACTGACAGTCTTCAAGACTAGGGTAATGTGATTTTGGAGAACAATGATGGAAACAGTTTATATTGCATAACATTCTATCAATGAAACTACTCCCAGACTGCTCTGGTTTATACAGTGAATTATAAATGGTTATTGAAACTATAGGTCACAACTCTTCTAAAGGTATTTGGACAGTGGGTACCCTACCTGGGGACCCCCACACCCCAGGGATCAATGCCTTCTATCTGTCCTTGGTAGTAGGAAAAAATGCATCCAGTCTTGGTTGATTGTTGGTGTGGCAGTAATCTCTGAGGTTGGTGCAAAAAAAACCATAAAAGGAGCTCTCAGTTGTGAACCACTGTACTGCAGAGTTGATGAATTTGTGTTAGACAAGGAGGCCCCGAGGCTTATGGGAAACAGTGTAGGAACTAAGATGTAGATGATTCAGTAGCATGGATTCATCGCGATGAGGCTGAAAGTTCATCCTAAATGAAGTCCCTTTAATGAGCCACAGTGTTTTTTGGTGTTTGAGAAAAATAAGACTTAATGAATTTGATGCCGGATTGCCTGGGCCTAGTCCAGTGGGTGGGTGAAAACACTGATTCAGCTCTAAGTTGAAGTGTCTGAATCTGCCTCTGACAGGCTGAAGAGAGGGAAATGGGAGAAAATGAAGCATCCTGGAGACTTCATCCCCCACCCAGTGGAATTGCGCTGAGAGAGAAGGTACCCGCTACACTACCGGATGATCTTTAGAGGCCCATAGTGGCTTCATACCTTGAGCAGTCTTTAGCTTCCCTGAGTCAGTTCCTGTGGGGATAATAATTCTTCATTGCATTATTGTATTATACAAAGTACTTGGCGCTTTTCCCTGCCACTTGGTAAGCATTCAGAATAGAGAGTAGCAGTAATTTAATACAGGATGGGTTCCTATATTAAAGCCAGAGTAATTTTTAGAGGGGTTTTCCCCC